CATGGTCATTTGTTGCCGTGGATATCATTTATTCAAAATCACTATTTTTTGATTTCAGCGTTGTGCAGTCCTCAGTTTAAATTAAAATATCTTTGAAACGGTCCATTTTAGGGGTATTAAAGGTTATGCGTTTTTTATTCGAAATTGATCTCTCTATCTATTAGGGCAATAAAAAATTGGGAGCAAAGAAATGGAAAAACACAGAAAATGTTACCTGCAACTGCTGGAACCGGAAATTGAGTAGATGTACCCGTTTTTCGTGATTACCAGTTCAAAAGGTATGTTGTTACAAGGAAATGTTCCAAATTTTATAATATTTGGTCAAATAGTTCCAAAGTTATTACAAAAAAATCAAATTTCCATACCCACATTCCGAGGGCTTATCAGTAGAGATAGGACACGAGTTATTATTTAAATTAACATCATTTTATAGGTCATTTTTGAGGTTCAAATATTGCTTCATATTTATGAATAACCCTGTATTACGTAGTAGGTACTTTTTTCTTACTACAACAGTGTTTGTTTTATTCGTATTTAAAAATAATTTGCAAATATTATTGTATTAAAGTTAGAACTAATTTTTTGGTAATAATTTGTTTATTAATAGGGTAGACCGTTTTCAAATGGCTATGATTTTTTTTAATACACAAAAATAAAAGTTGATTTATTTAGTTTTAATAAAATAACTGAACTGAACAATCTGTTACGATTGCAATCTCTTGGTTGCAAACATCTCAATAGTTGAATTTAAATATTCCTTTTTTTGTAAAAGTTGCCACGAGTTCAAAAGAGTTAGCACGTCTACCTGTTTGAATTGAATAAAGATTAATAATAAATTTATTTAATTTGTCATTTACAACTTTTTCAAAAAAAATAGATATCAAAAAAAAAATACATATCAATATTTTAAAGAGTTATATTACATAATCTCATTTGGTCATTTTAATTTTTAGAAATAGATTTTTATTAGGTTTTTCTAATAATAATATTGTTTATTTAATTTTGTCATTTAAAACGGCATTTACTTGTTATCTTGGTAAATAAATAGCTAATTAAACATCAATTATAATTATTTTTTATTTATTTTTTAGTTACAGTATAAAGTTTTTTTTTTAATAATTTGTTATTTACTCAATTGGTAATCGAGCTTCACTTCAAACTAAATATGTATACTGTTGAATAAGAAATGACGTTTACAATGAAAAAGATTTATTGTTGTGGTTTATGGGTTCAGCCTCTAAGGGTCCGCGCGGTTTATTAGGAGGACGGTCTTTTTTAGGTCGATTGTACATATATACAGGGTGCTGCATTTTGGATATCCGAATAGGGAATCTCTGAAACAAAGAGGTTTAGCCAAAAACGAGTAATATATTCTGGTTAAAACCGCATCCCGCTATCGTCTTTTGTTTTTGACTTACAGACAAAAATTGACATTTTAGTGAAATCTAAAAAAAAATCATATCTTCGTTATTATGGAAGATACAGATTTGAAATAAAGACACTATAGAGACACTTTTTTACCTAGAATTTAATGATGTATTTCACAATTTTTTTCAGTTGTTTGTTTAGCCGTAATAAAATAAACTTGTATTTTTTTTATATGGGAATCATAGAAGGCTATGATATTTTTAAAAAGCTTGTTTTTTTCTTAAAAAATATATATTTGTAACAGATTATTATAATACATTTTTAGCAAAAAATTATCTTTAATTTTTGTTCGCAGTTGGCCATGAAAAAATGTTGCATCTTCAACTAAAAGGATTTAAACTATATTATTCAACCAGTGTCACTAATGAAAGAGTTTTCTAAGTACTAAGTACCTAATGAAAAAAATGCAAAATAAATCGTAAATCAACTTATTGGTGACTAATAATATTTCTTTGTTTTTAAACAAGCTAACATTATAATTGCAACTTCTAGTGATATATAGAGTGTTGTAAAATAAAGCCGCTTTAATTCTTCAATATTTTATATGAAACAAAAATGATATGGTTATTCAAATACCCAAATTCCGTCTATGTTGAACATTATCCTATACCTCCATTAGATCATCAAAAAAATGTTTTTTCTAATTGTGTTGACTGTTGACACATTTGTTTTTCCTATTTTTGGATTTTTTAAAAATTATGTAATAATTTTGTTCTGAGGCGCTCGCATATTTGTTCAAACTTCTATCGTATCGTATTTTTTTAATTTTTATAATTTTATTTTTTTATTAATTTTTTTCTTATAGATTATTATTTACACATTTGGAGTGAAATAGTTTTTCCATGGCCAACTATTATCACACAAAATATGTATTTCATTTTCTAAGTAGGTATAATTATGAAAAAATATTCTGTTTCAAATATATATTTTTTAGATCAGAAAAAATAAGCTTTTCAAAATTGCCATAGCCGCCTATGATTTCCATTTAAAATAGTACAAGTTTATTTTATTACGTCTAAACCAATAACTGAAAAAAAAATTATAACTACATCCTCGTAAAAAAGGGCCTGTATAATGTCTTTATTTCAAACCCGTATCTTCTATAATAACAAAGATATGAATTTTTTTAGATTTCGCCAAAATGTCAACTTTTGTCTGTAAATCAAAAACAAAAGACGATAGCGGGAATGCGGTTTTAACCAATATTATTTTCTCAAAAAATGAGCCCCAGAATGTATCACTCGTTTTTGGCCAAACATCTTAGTTGTTCCCTATACAATACCAATTTCTTGCAAATTGCTTGTCTATTGTGCCTGAGAGAAAGCATACAAATTTAATTCTTTTAAATTCACGACTACTGGTTCTGAGAGAATCACTTTATCGTTTTCCAACAATAAAATTTTTAGAAATACCTTTTGGTTTTGCTTTCTGCAAGATTTTTACTTTTTTTTTAATCGCATTCTACTGCCAATTACTGCAAGCTGTGATTGTACCTACCCAATAGGTATTTTTAACCGCAGAAATAAGTGTGTGCTTTTTTTGAATAGTTGCAGCTTTTGTCCGCCCTATTCGTGGGTTTTTCCCCTTTGTGTGCCTACTCCCACATTTATTTTATATCTTCCGTTTAAATTTACATAGTAGGTTGTTTGTTGCAGGCTATAAGCTGCTTGAAGCGGGCCTTGTGGATATCGCCAACAAACTGGCGAGTGCTTTTTAACTTGGGTTTAGTTCATCTTGCCACTTATCAACCCGCATCTGCGTTTAACTTCTTATGTGCCGCTGTCAATCTTCGACCAGACGTTCCTCATTCCTTTACAGGATTAGGATGTAAATTTGTAGCGGAAAGTTTGCGGAAAAATTGCTAAAGCATATTTTAGGTGCTTTACTTGAATTGAAAGATGGGGAAAACGCCGAAAGGGCGTTCAAACAGGCCATGGCTTTGGCGCCGGAAGATCCGGTCATCCTCGTTAATAATGTCATCTGTTTGGCGGGGATGGACCGGAAGGAGGAAGCGCGGGATTTATTTCAGAAAGTTAATGAGATGTTGCAAGACGGTGTTGTATCAAAAGAGGTGGATTTAAGCGAATTTTGATTAGGGAAGGAGTTTAAAGTGGGTTTTAGATCGTGGCCATCACGGAGAAATTGGCAACGATGTTTGATGGAGATGGAAATGACGAAAGTTATAAAGATGGAGAGAGTAAGGATGATGTGAATAACATTATCAACGAAACGGACGAACTTGCCACTGGAGACTTATCGCCTAGGGAACTCGCAGCTGATGAAGTGTAAACCTAATGTACCGAATACTGGGTGAACAACCAATGTGAAACCAAACTTTTATTAGTGCATTTATAAAGAACTATCAAAATATGAAACTACATTTTCGGTTAAGTTTGAAAGATCTTCGTTGTGAGCTGGGACTATAAGTTTGCATTGCTAAAACAATGGCGATCAGTAAATAATTTAATATTTTGCACTGTAAAAATAATAAATGCTAAGTAAAGCACGCACAGTGTTTTTATTGTAATTTGTTCAGTAAAAAAAACAATTTGCATAATAAAATATTAAACGCTCAGTAACTTTAATCAAAATTAGTAAAACAACATAAAATTTAAAGAATTTTCAGTCTTGGTTACATAACAATGTATGGCCCCTGCGCAAAAATGTTATTTATTATTAGTACTTATGTTTATATGGCAACAAATTAAATGCACAGTATATTATTTAAAATGACAAGTATTTGTGATCACTAAAAATAATAAATGCACAGTAAACTAATAAATGCACAGTAAAAATAATAAATGCACAGTAAAGGAAACGAATGAATGTCTAGTAAAACTAATTAATTTCATATTCACACATTTACAAACAAAATTTTTCGAGCACAACTGGAATGTCAAAAACAAACTTATAGTATTAAGAGCACAACAGTGCAAAGAGTGGCGTACGCTGATTAGACTGATTATTACCATTTGTGCACAGTTGTCAGCCCTTGTTAAAATCATTCTTGCTCAGGAGACATACATTGTTGTAACCAAGACTGAAAATTCCTTAAATTTTATGTTATTTTGTTACTTTATTTTGTTACTTTTGATTAAACTTACTGAGCGTTTATTATTTTTCCTGTGCAAATTGGATTTTTTTACTGAACATACTGACCAAATTACAATAAAATACTGTGCGTGCTTTACTTAGCATTTATTATTTTTACTGTGCAAAATATTATACAAAATAATTTTCCAAGTTTTTTTTGCTATAGGCTATTAAAAGAGGAAACAAGGAAGCTGTATCCTAAATTGTAATTCTGTTCAATGTTATTTGTGGCTTTTATTGACAAAATTTTTGTACCTTTACTAAATAATTGTAAAAAAACATATACAAGATCATCAGTATCATTAAATAGAAATAAAAAAATGTCAAATGTCGAAAAATAAATGTCAAAATTTTTTGATAGATAGAATTGTTTAAATATTTTTTTCATGTTCCTGGTATCTTACCTTACATGCCATGTCACGTTGGTCCGGGAATTTTGACAAACCCTGTATAGCAAAACTTAATATGTAAAATATTTACTCAACCGAAGAATTTGTTTTTTTTATGATATTTTTTGAAAAATAAATGTTAATAAATTATTGGAAATTATGTGTTTTCTTTAGAACAGTTAATTAGTGACGTAATTGGTAATTTTTCTATTTAATTTCCAAGGAAACGCAACTTTCAGGCGATCTTAGGAGATCACGCACTATGCAACGCTCTCAAAAAAATTTTTTTTCAGCCATTTTTAAAACGTCCGTCCTAAAACTTATGTGAAAACATAGTAAAAATGTGAGAGTTTTTACATAAATTTTTTGAGAATTTTAAAAACCTGCGTAATTGTTACCTATTTATATCTATTATTAAAAAAAAATCGTTTCAATATGTTGATTTGTTCTTTAGATAAAAATTCTTTTTGCTCCGAGATATTTAATTTTGTACATCCCTGTTTTTTCAACATACATTGAAAAAATAAAAAACGGTGAAATATGTGTCACTTATTTTGTTTCTTTGTTTGTTTATGTTCTATAAAATATCTCAAATTTACAAAAATATAAAATGAGTTTTAAAAGTGATCGTTTTGGTATGGAATTACGCAAAAGCTTTTTTATCAACGAATTCGTACTAAACAAATGATCTTTTTTTAACGATACTATAAGTTAAAAGCAGTAATTTCTACACGTCAAAATCAAATTCGTAGAATAGATAATTTCATTTTTTTGAAACCGACATTTTTTGAAAACGGATCATTTCACAAAATACTAACAACAAAACAACAGCATGCTAAAAAAACAACGTTAGATTTTCAGTTGCAAAGAAGCTAACTATTTTCTTTAATTTGAGAGACAATTTGAATACTAATTGACTTTATTCAAGGTTTATACAGGTACAGCCGGAAAATAGTAGGGGCGAATATTTGGAGATTTGGCTGTACAGTTGCGGAATTAAACTTTCGGGCAGTATTATTCTGTCACTTTAGAAAGTTCACTGTGAACTTTTACTGTCATCATGACTGACATTTGACATTTAAACCTATTTTTTGTTGTTGTTAAAATTGTTAATTAAACAATTTGTTCTTTTTTCATGCTCCTGGTATCTTACCTTACTTGAAAATTTTCTCTGGGACGCGAGTTCTGGCGCACCTGTATTATACTGATCATTTTTAATATTTTACTGTGCAAGAATTAATTAGATATTGATTATTTATCATTTTATACTGAAAATTGAATTATTTATTGATTTCTTTATTACTACCCTTTTTATATTGCTGAATATTTATTATGATTGGAGAGTGGTAAATGTACTAGCAAGAGCCCCTGCGCAAGAATGATTTTAGCAAGGGCTGGAAACTGTACACAAATGGTAATCAGTCTAATCAGCGTACGCCACTCTTTTCACTGCTGTGCTCCTGGTACCACAATTTTGTTTTTGAACGCTTTGCGACATTCCGATTTTGCTCGGAAACATTTTGTTTGTAAATGTGTGAATATTCATTTAATTAGTTTTGCTAGACATTCATTGTCTTTACTGTGCATTTATTATTTTACTGTGCATTTATCATTTTTACTTTGCATTTATTATTTTTACTGATCAAAAATACTTGTTTGAATAATATACCTATGCATTTAATTTGTTCCCAAAAACAATTTTAAGTATTTAGAAACATATGTATTTTATAGATATTTTTAAAAATTCGTCATTGCTTGATTGATTTAAAAAATAAAGAAAGAAATTTTTGCAAACCTCAAACTTTTGCAAAACTAAAAAATACTTTTTTCAAAAATTTCATAAGAATTTATAATGCACTAAACATTAAAACGCTTAGTTCCATTACTTTTTGTTCACCTAGCGAACTCATCAGTGTCTGTTATTATAATTTGAATAAATTTGTCGTAGACTTCATTTTAACAATTTTAAAAAACATTGCTTGGTTGTGACAATTTGACAGATTTCATCTTTATTAAATTGCGCACGAAATCTAATCAAAATTTAGGTCAATTTAAAAAGAAATTTAATTTGTAGATAAGCAAGAGTACTTAAATTTTATTTTGAATATTAGGTATAAATAAAAAAAAGTTTCTATGGATTTATGTGCGGAAATGTTTCTTAAAAGAGAGCTAGAGCGACAACTCAACCTTATATGTATAAAAAACTCACTGCGTGGGTTGCTTTAATCGGTGCACGGTTTAAGATACTTCCATTTTTCTCAATAACCATGCGTCGTATACAAATAGAGTTTTAAAAAAAGGAAAAAAGCTGAATTGGAAATTTTTAATAACGTTTTCTAACGCAGAATTTTTTGCTTGTACACAATGCACAAGTAAATATACCTGGTGTTAGAAGATGGGTTTCAACGATCCCGAGCCCGGTCTTATAAAACCAAAACAACAGGGAATTAGTAATGAACCATTTCCTAGTGTTCGTTCTGATGTAAATAGTGCCTTTTGTTATAAAAATGAAATGTTGTACTTTTTAAAAAAGAAGGATAACAAAGCGATTTTATACGAATAGGATTTTTCAAATATGTTAATAAAATGAGGTGCATTTGATTTTAGTATTTTCAATATTCACTGTCCGAAATTAAGTATAATATTAACTTAATTAAATAAACTAGCTTTAACCTCATCTCTGGACTTAAGTATTTCATCAAACTTTTCATATACTTAGTTTTTATTCCTCATGCGACAAAAAATCTGTCTATCAAGCAAGCCTAGAAATTTAAAACGTGTGCCTGCGGAAGATAAAATGTCACAATGAATAAAATAATTTTTATGTAAACTGTAAAAGCAAATCATGGTAAATCGTTTTAAGACGTTTCATACAGTCATTCAATTTGCTTAGATCAATATTTTAATTTTTATAAAATATTTATTTGACATCTAGCTGACGTATGTACAGTTGCGGAATTAAAATTTCAGGCAGTATTGTCATTTTCATAGTGTAAACTCTAAAACAACCTTTACATTAATAACCTCATTTTTATCTCTTGTCATGTTTATGTCATTTTACTTTCAAAAATAGTGATTTGCGTAAAAAATAATTTGTGTAATGAATGGAAAAAATAATTAGAGTGCGATTACAGAATAAAGTGAATTAAATCAAAATTACCTAATCGCGATTAACTTCAAAATCCTGAAATCTGGTTGGTTGTTCACCAAAATTCAGCCAATCAATTGTAATCAAATATTTAATTCAGATTCTTTAAACCCACATTTAGAGATTTAATTCATTTGTTTACTTTCAAAGGAATTACAATTACAATTACAATTACAATAATAATTTTATTTATTGGATATGGAAAATTATGACGATGGAAAAAATATGTTGTTTGGGGATATGAAATTGGTAGTTTATTCATCGAAGAAATTTATAAACAGGATTATATTGTATTCATTCTTTCTTTTGGATCCACCTGAGGTCTGATACTCATTTATTCCATACATTGCTGCTGTCCTGTTTCGCCTTCTGCAAGTGTATTTACAAAGCACAATGGGTGTTTTATAAAGAAATTTATTAACATTAATTAAGACTATTTGAAGGTGAAAGGCAAAGAATAACAATAATTATTGTTTTATTTTAATATCTTGAAACTTAAAGTTTTAATAAAATTGTGTTTGTGTTGTCCAGGATTCATTTATAACAATATTATTGTGTGAATTGTTAATTATTATTTATTACATACCTCTATCACGCCTTAAAATAATATGTAGCTATTACAGAAGTCGTAGGTCACTTTAATCAGAAAATTAACTCAACGCACGGTATACTTAGTATAAGGGAGAGCGGGGTTACTGTGCGTAGTGGGTAATCGTGCGCACCTTTCTGTCGCTTTTCCTAAATCCCTTTAAGGTAAATTATTAATGCTGCCATAGAGTGCCATTTAGTTTTCTACATTATAGTAGA